GTGAAAATTTTAAAAATCTACATTGATGGAAGTATAATTTATATATCAAAATCTCTTGCAGAGAATGAGCTAGTAAATTCTACAGAGAACTGAAGAACCCCCAAAGTAAATCAATGCTTACTTTTTAATCCTTGCTGATTTCAATGCAAATGTGGGAACAAGGGACAATGATGGAAAATAAGTTGGAATTTCATGTAACATTTACTTCTTTAACTCCATTACCAAATAATCCCTTCACTCTTATTTTTTTTTAATGAGGCTCATCCTTTTCTTCTATCTGAACTCTGCCATTTTCATAGGTGAAAAATGAAGCCTCTTTGCCTTCTCCACAGCTTGTTCATTTTTCTTTCAGAACCCCTAAAAGGAAGGCCAAAGAATTATAGAATACCAAAATATATATATATATATATATATATATACATATATATATGTATATATGTATATATATATATATATATATATATATATTAGTGTATTCTTCAAGAATATAGACAATTTTAAACTATTCATCAAGGGGACATGATGAGCTCAGAAGCAGAACAAGTAGGAAGAGAAAAATGTGAAAAGGAGAAATTAAATAGGAAATGAGGGGTTGCCAATATGGCTGACATTTCTACATCAGCTATCTGTGTACAGACAGGACATTTTGTAAAACAAAGTCAAGAATCAACCTGAAATTAGAGGAAACACCTGAGTGAGAAAATATGGCAAGTGGTTAAAATAACCCTACCTTTTAAGTATTTGGACAACTTAAACAAAGTATGGGAAAATGGAAAGTGTATAAATAACAGGCAAGTAACAAGTATGGATTTCCTAAGGAAAACTAATAAAAGTAAGTTCATCTCCATGAAGAGGCTGGTAGAGTCCAGAAATATTCTTAGCCAGGATATATTTCTTACCAAACAGAAAGATATGGCAAATACCACTACTAGGTCTGTATCCCAAAAAGATCATAAAATAGGAAAAGGACCCACATGTACAAAAAAATGTTTATAGCAACTCTTTTTTATGGTGGCCAAGAATTGGAATTGAAGGGATGCAAATCAATTGGGAAATGGCTGAACAAATTCTGGTATATTAATGTACTGGAATACTATTGTAGCGTAAGAAATGGTGAGCAGGCAGATTTCAGAAAAATCTGCAAAGACTTACAGAAACTGATGCTGAGTGACGTGAGCAGAACCAGGAGAAGATTGTGAACAATAACAACAACATTGTATGATGACCAACTTTGATAGACTTAGGTCTTCTCAGCAATGCAAGGATCTAAGACAATTTCAAAAGACTCAAGATGGAATGTGCCATCCACATCCAGAGAAAGAGCTATGGAGTCTGAATGCAGGTCAAAGGATGCTATTTTCTCTTTTTTTGTTGTTGTTGCTTTTTCTTTCTCATGGTTCTTCCCTTTTGTTCTAATTCTTCTTTGACAACATGACTAATGTGGAAATATATTTAATATGATCATACATGTACAGCCTATATCAGATTGCATGCCATCTTAGAGAGGGGAGTGGAGAGGGAGGGGGAAAATTTACAAATCAAAAATCTTTTAAAAAATGAATGTTAAAAATGAAAAAATAATTAATTGATTAAAAAAAGAATAATATAGCAAGCAAGGCATCACCAAAGCATTTATTACGTGCCTACAATATACCAAGTATTGTCCTTAGTAGTGGAGATTCAAAGAAGGGCAAAAAGAATATTGGTCTTCAGAAGCCAGGTGACGCAGTGGTTAGAGCACGGGCCTGGAGTCAGGAGGACCTGAGGTCAAACCTGACCTCAGTTTTACCTACTACCTAGCTGTGTGATTTTGAAGGAGTCATTTAACCCCTTTTGGCTTTGTTTTCTCATCTTTAAAATGGGGATAATAATAGCACCACTTCTCAGGATTGTTGTGAAGATTAAACGGGATAATAATTATAAACACTTAGCATAGTGTCTATCATATCTTGTCATTCTTCAGTCGTTCAGTCACTTCCAATCCTATATAACCCCATGGACTTTGTCCATGGTGTTTTCTTAGCAAAGATACGGGACTAGTTTGCCATTTCCTCTCCAATATGTTCCCATTCTATAGATGAGAAACTGAGGCAAATAGGGGTTAAGTGACTTGCCCAGGGTCACATTACTAGTAAGTATCTTAGGCTGGATTAGAACTTCCTTACTCCAGGCCTGGTGCTCTATCCACTGTACTATTTAGTTGACTTTGCCTGGCACATAATTAGCATTATCTAAATATTGGTTATTATTATTGTTATTATTACCAAACTCATACTTCAGTGGGGGAGACAACAAGCAAAAAACTATGGAAATGCAATATATATATATATATATATATATATATATATATACACACATACATACATATATTTACATATACATACATGTATGGATATATATATATATATATACATATACATATTATGAATAATTTTGAAAGGTGAAAGCAGAAAGAAGGAATGAGGTGGAGGGAGAGGAATGGAAAAGTACTAATGTAGAAGGTGGGATTCTGTTCTGGAGTTGGAAGTGAACAGGGAGAACCTTGAGGACTGGCAGACCTCCCACGTAAATGCACAAAGCCTCAAGATAAAGTGTCATGTATGAAGAACAACAGTAGAACACTGTCACTAGATAACAGAGAGTGTGGAGGGGAATTATTGGAAGAACACTGGGAAGGGAGGAAGAGCCCGGGTCACAAAGTGCTTTCAAACAGAGGGTTTTGTGTTTGCTCCTGGAGGCAACTGATAGCTAGGTGATGCGATGGATGGAGTGCTAGGACTGGAGTCAGGGACACCTGAGGTCACATTCGGCCTCAGACATTTACTAGCTAAGTAACCCTAGGCAAGTTACTTAACCCTTGCTTGCCTCGGTTTCCTTAACTGTAAAATGGGGATAAAAATAACACCTATCTCTCAGGGTTGTTGAAAGAATCAAATGAGACAGTCTTTATAAAGCACTGAGCTCAGTGCCCAGCATATATGTGTGTGTGTGTGTGTGTGTGTCTCTCTCTCTATATATATATATGTATACATACATATATATATGTATATGTGTGTATGTATATGTATACATGTTATATGTGTGTGTATGTGTGTATGTATATATGTGCATGTGTGTGTATGTGTGTGTGTGTGTATATGTATGTATATGGGGGGAGGGGGTATGTGTGTATCTTCTCCAACAGGGAACCATTGGAGTTTACCAAAGCAGAGAGATTGTGTTTGAAGAAGCAAATAGGCCTTTGTAAATTGTGAGGGCATGGAAAGAAGTAACATATAAGCAAACAGGAAAGATACAAAAGAAACAGGCTGTGAAGAAATTTGTTCAGATTGCATGGTACTTCTAGTGATCCTAAGCTTCTTCCTGAGACAAAGGCCTATCTCTTTAATGATGTTATTCCTTCAATAGAATGCAGCATTATGATCACAGGTGCATAATAATTTAACTCAGTGCAGCTAACCTGCCTTCTCAGCATCATGCCAGAATGCATTGGTTCATATGGAATGTTAGAGCTGAAGGCAGTGCCGTATGACAAATGGAACCCCCTAACTCTTGTACCTAATTCTTGACGTGGGTCCTGTTCTAGAACCTCTTGCATCCCCAGGGTCTTGACATGAAAATGAAATGGTGGAGGTGAGTGCTCTCATTCTGTAATTATTCCAGAAAGTTCATTCCCATCCTCTACCAGCCCCAAGGAATCAACAGAGTTCTAGTGCTTGGGTTACTTTTAGGACAATGCTAGTGCTTGCAGTACTCTCTAAAGATCTATTCTTCTATTTGACATGAGTCACATACAGCCTAAGAAGTCTGGCATTGCTGAGTGTCAGTATGAGATTGAGAAGGGAAAACCTCCCACATCTAGCAACCAATAACCTTTGGTTTCAGGATAAGAAAGGCTTGTGCAAAGTTGAGCATGATTTTTTTGAGTGGGAAAGGGTTGACAGTAATTAAGGCCAAATCCAAATTGCTTAATCTTACCCCATTTTCTGGGGCAAGAGAGTTTTCAGATTTGTTCCAGAGTCTGAGATGATGGTGATTCTTATCCCACGTCTCTTCAAGGAGCGTTTCATGTTTGGTTATGACACATAAAATTTCTTGATGGGTTAGAATTGAGCATTGTAGGTCTGTTAGGACCTAGTTTAAGTGCTAAAATAAGACAGGAAAAAGGCCTATGTAAATGGTCAGTTCCAAATCTCAGTTACCTCTGAGTAATGGGAGATAATATAAATGCGGGTAATTAGAGGGGAAGACATGAGGATCTTGATATTACAAGATGAGAGATTCAAAGCTGGCAGGGAGCAAAGAAGTCACTGAGTCTTACCTCATAATTTTCACAATGAGGAACAGTAGAAAGACCTTGAATAGCCAGAAAGCTTCCATGATTTTCACTGGATCACACAGTTTGCAAGTGTCTGAGAAGTAATTGAGACGCAGCAGGTCTTGCTTACTCAAAGTCCAACATTTTATTCATTCCACTACACTACACTCTACGCCACCACTTTTCAGTGTCTGAGTTCAATGTATATAATGAGTTGTTACCATTTAGAGAATGTGGGAATCTATTCTCACATCCAAACCTGAAAACATGTATCAGTGTTTATTGCAAATCAACTTGTATGCCAAGAGAGAAAGGACAACAACATTCATGTATCCATGTCTACCAACTCTTAGGAATCATTTGATAACTTGTTGATTTTATCTAAATATATTAATGGTAATTCATCATTTATATTGATAAATACATTTTATTCAGCCTGTCTTTTTATGATATTACATCTTCATTAATTCTAATTGTAAAAACTTTTACTTACAAGTTGTGGTTTATACAATTTCACTCCATTATTCAATTCAACAAAAAATTTTCTAACTATTCCTTACGTGTAAGATTCAGTGCTGGATACTAAGGAAACTTTTTTTAAATGACAGTCCACTTGCTCTCCAAGGGCTTACAGTCTGGAATGTATGGTACTGATTGTTGTCTCTGTGTTTTAATATTGAAGGTTCCTAGATGGGAAACTGCTAGATATTAATAAAGACTTCCAGCCATATTATGGTGAAGGAGGACGAATTTTGGAAATCCGCACACCAGATGCAGTGGCGTTGGTTAAAAAACATGGGCAGTCTTTTGGCTATACTGAAGGGGCACTGCTTGCACTAGCCATGATTATCATCCTCTGTTGTATTCCTGCCATCTTGGTCGTGTTGGTCAGCTACAGACAGTAAGTATAGGTCAAGCTGTGAGATCGATGGATCTTTAAGAAATCATCATCTAATACTTTGGAGAGTCTATCAAAATATCATTTGGTGGAAAACCAACGTTATGAAAATTTTACTAAAGAAAAATGTGTTCAAGTGCTTGAAGACCTGGCTTATGGAATCAACATATCAACAAACATTTCTTAAACTTTTACATATTCCAGGCTTTGTGATAAGTAATGAGAATTCAGAGGCAAAAATGAAAGAGTCCCTAAGCTGAAAGTATTTTCATTGTAATGGGTAGACAACATGCGGAAGAATGATTAGATTGTTCTGTTTGGTCTTAGAGGATAGGATTAGAATAGGAGATAAAAGTTGGGAAAATGGCAAGCATAGGGTTAATATCAGGAAAACATTCCTTTACAACTACAGGTTTCCTGAGATGAAATAGAAAGCCTTTGGAATTCATAGGATCGTAACTTTAAAGTAGGAAAGGAACTAGAGTTCATTTTTTTTTTAACGAGGAAACCGAGATCTTGATTTCCTTTCTTGTCCAATGGAAAATGTGTAGAGGTGAAATTTAAATCAAGACTCCAAATGTAATACACTTTCCACTATACCAAGCTAGTAGATTTCATCTCATTTTTGTTCTTCTACCAAAGACTGGTTATCTCATTGTTGGGTATGTGATAAAAGGGATTCTTGTTCAAGTATGAGATAGCTGCTAACATCCTTCCAACTCTGAAATTCTGTGACCTATGACCTTAAAGATCCCTACATTAAGTTTGGTATCATCCTAAACTTTACTGTCTTCCACAACTATTGGAAATGTCATCTTCTCTCCTGCAGAACTTTCACACAAAACAGAGAGCATGACACTAATGTCTAGGCCACTTCTTGGCAAAAAAGATTCATAAGGTAGCCAACAAGATAAAATGACCACAGCAAGAAGACTAACTGAGAGCTTCAAGGAAATGGATAGTCCAGCCTGCTGCCAAATCAGGCAGAGAATGATAAGTGGAAAATGGTGCTTCGTGCCTGCAGATGCTGGGCAGAGTGTCCAAAATAGAGAGCAATAGTCAGAGTGTATTGTACTCTCATCTTGCAACATCTGGAATGCCATTATAACTCCCATGTGTTAATGGTCCTTGGAACACCGATATAATTCTCTGACAAGTCCAAAATATGTGAAATTTACTCTGTTAATGGGCCAGATTACAGAACTTGAAGGCTTTCAAAAGACTTTCATCATAATTACATGGTAAAGTAGGCGATGCTTACATGCAGTGCAAATACATCTCTTTTCCAGATGAACCAGACTCAGAGAGATAAAGTCACTCACGTAAGATGTCACATTTAGTAAGTATTGGAGCTAGTACTCAGAACCAAGGCACCTAACTCCAAATAGAGTTTACCCTGAAACCAAACTGCCTCCTATGTACATGGGCTTTGAGTCAGGGAGACCTCATTTCAAATCCGGCAGCAGACAGTTAATTACCTATCTGACAACCTCTCTCAGCATCACTTTGCTCATCTCCAAAATGAGAACAATAATAGTGTCCTTCTCACAGAATCATTGTGAGAAGCAAATGTGATAATATATCTGAAGCCCTATAAAAACCTTACAGTGTTAGATAAATGTTAGCTCTTATTGTTGGCTATCATTATCATGAGAAAGAGGCAAAATTATTTTAAACTTCTATTAAGCTGGCGCAAAGTCTCCCTCCTGGATTCCTTTACTTCTAGATGCTATAGAAAAACATACTTGGCTAAGAGCAGCAGGTTAGCCCTTCCATTATTCTTCAACACAGGATATTTGCAACTAATCACCAATGGGCCTCCTCAGGAGATCTGCTTTATATACTCAGTCGATGAGTATGTATTTACTACTGCAGGCGTATTGGTGTCAGCATGGGAGAAGCAGGCCCTTGATTTCTACAACTTTCAGAAGAGGAAGGCAGGGAGCATCATGACACACAGTTTAGGAAAATGAATTCTTCTTTTTGGTACTTTCAGTTTTAAGTACAGTTTTAAATACAAGCACTTAAATACAGTACTTACAGTTTTAAATACAAGCTATAGAAGTGGCCACTTATTATTGGGGAAAAGAGGGAATGGGAAAGATTGAAGGAACAAATCCCTCTTCTTCACAAGAAATATTGGTATTAATTGACCATGTGCAAGGGGAATCTTAAGGAAATGAAGGAACAGGCATTTTGAACCAGGAAGGCTTTAGAGAGTAATGAGTGCATCTCCATCTCTTTCCCGGCAAGAAAATTGAAATTCGAAGAGAAAACAGGGCTTGACTTTTTGCTGTGGGAGCCAAGAAAATAAACTGATGTCAAGTGGTAATGATAGCTATCCAAAAACAAAATGGTAAACTATTAAAGAGGAAGAAGAGTTCCAGGATCTTTAGGATGGCAGAAAGAGAAATATGATAAGCCAAAATCCAATTCTGTCAGCAGTCATCTAAATGATGGTACTTCACTTAAAGATAGGGCCTGGAAGTACCTTCAAGGTTATTTAGTCAATACTCTTCATTTTGTTGAAAGATAAATGGAAGCCACAGAGACCCCTAAGGTCCGAGGATCCTGGCTTAGATGTAGATCTGAAAGGATCTTAAGAGTTCATCTAATCCATCCTCCTCAGGCTACAGGATGAAGGACGGGAGCCCAGAGAGGTTGATTGAGTCTCCCAAGGTTACACAGGAAGTAACAGGAGTGGGATCCAGTGTACTTTCTAGTGTCCCCTAAGGCCTATCATGATTTGCCCAAAGTCACACACTGTTTACTGTCAGAACAGGAGTAAAACCCAGGTCATCTGGTAATCCAATTTTCTGCTCCCACTAAACCATCCTGACCTGCATATCTTGATTATGAGTGACTTCAAACAAACAAAAAATACCTTGAGAAAGTTAGATGATATATTTATGACATGGTATGTATATGATCTTTGTTGTAATATATTAAAAATTGGGCATTGCATAAAATCACAGAAAATTACCCTAAACAAAACCTGGGCATGGGCATTTTCTATTCCAATGTTGCTTTACATTAAGATAGTACAAGAAGTTTTAATAACCAAAATTAGAGATTAAAAATATGAAATTTAGCTTCAATTTTAATGGATTCTTCATTAATCAATGAGCTCACTAAAAATCTAGCCTACTAAAAGTCTAATAATGGCCAATTGACTCATAAATTTTTGAGTCATCTCCACAGTACCTAATTTTTAAATTGTCTGTTCTGCATTACAATTTTTTTCTTTTATTTTCCATTGGTATCTCATATAAAGTAACCCTGTTATGTCCTACTCTAGTGCCCACCCCCAAAAGGCTTCTTGTCATACCCTGCAATGATCAGTCCTGAATAAAGCAAGATGTCACACTAAAAGCTCATAAAATGGAATAATTAAGCCTTGCTTGATATTTAAACATTTGTGTGTGTGCTCTGTGGTAGATGAATTCTTCAATGCTTTCTAGCTCAGTGATCAGCTTAATACCCAATGAATTAATTTTACTTACTGCATTTTAAAAAATAACAGTTAAACAAAATTAGTTTTTCATTGCCTACCATCCAGTGGAAAATTGTAATAGTTAAAAATCTCACTTCAGTGCCTACACATACAGCTTGTAAATAAGCCTGGGAAGTATCGTTATTCTTTGCTATTCACAAGGGCATTTGAAATTCACTATGGAGGACAAAGCAAGAAACCAATTATGAAAAAGGATCCTGAATTCATTACCCAATGGTGGCACCTTCCATTTCAAACTTCAGCTTCAAAGTGAAGCCCAGAATACAATCATGTCTTGCCGCGCAGCTTTGCTCCTTTCTTATTTTCAGGTCAGGTGAACCAAGAAGCCAATTAGGAAGATTAGGTCATCTTTAATATCTTATTTCATGATCAGAGTTCTCGTTCATATATTCATGTTCTAATCCATTTTCTTCTGATTCTACTTAGCCTCTATGTTTGTTTGGTTTTTTTAAATCTCTCCTAAAGGGAGGATTTTTTTTTAAATAGCTGCTTCTAAAATTTTTAGAGCAATGATATAAAAGAAATGCATTTAAAAGTGCAGAGTTTTAAGACTTAATATTGTTAATGTTTCATCATGATCAATAGGGCAAAGATGTTAAGATTTGAAGTAAATTTTGAGTCATATAACAAATGTCACCTATCTAATCTTTGGTTTCTTTTCTTCCTCCCTCCCACTCTTTACTTCATCAAACAGGTTTAAAGTGTAAGTATCCTGTTATCTTACAGGTAACATGATGGTTTATCAAATGTAAAATGAAGCTGAGGTTAACATTTAAATTCATACCAATAGGCATATCAGGTACTTTGGGGAGTGTGTGTGTGTGTGTGTGTGTGTGTGTGTGCGTGAGGGGTGCAGATTGTACTTGATTATGCATGACTCACTTTCCCTTCTGTACATTTAAAATTTGTCTGTGTCTTCACAGTGTCAATGATCACAGTGGAATGTGAGAAAGTGTTATTTCTCATATTACTCTGTCTCTGGCTCTTTGATACTTGTAAATAAGCACGGCATCAGTAAACAAATCAAATAAATAAATGGTAGCCCTCACAGTGGGCTGTCAAAAACTACACAAAGATACAGGATCCAAATGATTCACTTATAATTCACAGTTTTAATGCTTAGTTTTAATAGTTTCTGAAATTTAATAAATGATCATACCTTTACAACGCTTTAATATTTCAAAACTCTTCCTTCACAACAATCTTGTGAAATAGCTATTGAAAGTATTATTCCCATTTTACGTATGAACAAACTGAGATTCAAGGAGATTGAGTAACTTGCTCTGGTCATAGCACTGGAAAGGGTGAGACTCCTGAACCCTCAGTTTCCACCTGAAGTCTTTTGATCCTATTGCCAATACTTTCCCCTGTTCATTAATTCCACTGTGCTTTTCCACAATCTCCCTTCCTAATCCTTTTGTCATTTGGTTAGTGATCTAGAAAGTATTTTAAAACCATAGGATATCTGGAGAGTTCAAATAACCCTGTGGTAGGCTCTTTTCAATAAAAATAATCATGTCTTTTCTCATATACTAATTGGTTAATTTATTATAAATGAGTTTTTTTTTCTGAACTCTTGATTCCCTCATATTAATGTTAGTGATAGAAGTTACACTATCATATTTATGTAATTTCTGTGAGAAACTTAAAAATATATATATTTAATTTCCCAAAGACGACAAGAAGAATGCACCAAGACAGCCAAGATGCAGGCCCTGGCAGCGCCCAAGCCAGCAGCCCCAGCCCCAGCAGCAGCAGCAGCACCTCCTCCACCACCACCACAAGCTCCCCCAGGAGGTCCCCATCTCTACGAGGAGTTGGGTGGAAGTACAATGTAAGTATTCTTGTTTCCTCCCTGAGGGAAGCAGACAGCTCTGATATCTTTATTTTCTTTTATAAACTTAGTGAAAGACTGTCTGATGGCAGGCATTTAATTCCACTGAAGTAGATACCACCATGAAGATATTAGAAAAACTTAAAAAAAAAAAAAACTAACAGGTGACTTCCCAGAGGGTAAGTCTTCCCTGAATTTGATCACTTTTAAAAGGCAAAATAACATTCAGTTATATATAGGAACTGATGAAGCTAAATGAACTTGATTTAATTAAAGACAGTAGTTATTGAGCTCAAAAAAGCCAGATTAATAGTGAGAAATGTGACCCAATTCAATTCAGCAAGCTTTTAGGGAGGATTCCCTGGGAAGAAGGCATTAAGTAAAGCACAGAAACTTTTCACAACCTGAACTATTTTGTTATAGATATATTCAAATACTTTGATCTGCATCAGTGACAAGATCACAGGTCCATTTGAGTGTATTTGGCATATATTATATTTAGAGTGTCATTCTAAGGAAGTTAGATTTAATAAGGTATACAGAATCATAGAAGACCAGAAGTGAAAAATATCTCAGCCATACAAAATTTGAGATTATTGAAATAACTCAGGAGTGACTTAAAGCCATTATATTTCTCAACACTTCTTTAGGTCTTGGAAAACAGAACCTCCAAAATTTAAATGAGAGGAAGGGCTCGTGTGCTGGTGATGGGAAGGTGGTCTCAAATACCCTTTGCTATTGCCTTAGAAAAAGCTTGACTGTTGGGGCAAAAGAAAGGATAGTGTTTAGAACATACTTTTTGAAAATGCTGTGTACAGATAAATTGCTTATTTTAAAATGACACATGAGGGTGAAAGACTTTACAGCTGTTAATTGAAAAATAATGTTTCCTTATATTCTGACCACTTTAAAAGCTCTATTACCCATAGGAAACCACTCAGCAGTTCCCTGTTACAATATAGGAATGATGACACCTTATTGATTTAAAGAACTGATGAAACATGAAATGTGAGTGACAGATCTAGAAAGTCCTTTATTAACTGCAGCATTGTGGGAATGGAAGAGAAAGGAATACGATGTGTTGTTTTCCTGTACAAAATACACATTTATTAGCTTGGAGAAGAAAAAACTATATAAATATAAAATCCACCGTGGGATCATTAGTCATTACAAATACACGTTTTAATTATATGGTTGTGATAAATCTCACATAACATCAAAATTATTTTCTGAAAGAAGTAAATGCACAGCACACTTATTTAGAATTTATTGTTATTTTCCCTAAAATTATACGAACATAAAAGACTTGCTTGGAAACATTGGTGAATACAGGAATTAATCTAGCATCTCCTAATCCTATTCTGCATATCCACCTAGGAATACCTGTAGTCTAGTCAAAAGTGGTTATCTATAAGGTTCAGCATGGTTGTGTTTAAGTTAAAATGTCAGTGTCATTTATCCATCTTTCCAAAAATAAGAAGAAGTGAATAGCGTATAGTAACTTCTGGAAAGGCAATATTTTGGTCATGTCAGTTTACATTTGTTACCAATAATTGGGCCATACCCATTGGGGAAAAATGGGATAGGACAAATGGGTTTGTAGTTTGAATTTTTAGGAAGCATTGTTAATGCAAGTATTTTGATGTTTTGACAAAGAAAATTCTTGGAAATAAATTCTACGATTAAATTATTTAGTTCTGAATTGCTCAGTCTAAAATTTTAAATTGGCATTTAGTAAGTATTAGATTATAGAATATTTGGCCTCATTTGAATGATGAACTAAATATTTGAAAGGAATAAACTGATATAAATCAAGCTTCAGAGAATGATATCAACAGATGCCATTAAATGCTAGCTTAATGTGGAGTCCATAATTATGGACATGCATTTTTAATACTGTTTTGTGTTTTCTAAGGTCTCTCATTAAGGCATCTGAATATTCTTTATAATCACATTAAATGTAAACACATATTAGCTAAATCTTGTGTCAAGAGGCATTGGAACAATTCTGAAGAATATCATGAACAATAATCTGTTTTGAAATTAAACTGATTTATATGTGGCAGGCACCTAAAATTCATTATGAAAACACTAAATGTAATCAACTGTGTTAAGAAATCTAAAAGCAACATGATTTTCTCTTATCATTCATTATTAAGAATATTTTGTGTTTAAATATTATGCAAAAACATATTTCCATTTACAATACATATCATCTCTTCAAAGAAAAATCACTGAATTATTTTAATTCCTGTCTCATATTGTCTCTTTACAAATATTTTTTTCCTATGATTTCTATTCTGTCTCTCACCTTTGGATTCATAGGCATCAGTACGTAAATACAATTCCATTTTTCTGTGACAATTCTAGAGAACAGATATTGTAGAGAAGATTAATTCCTGCCTCAATCTTTAAATCATTTTTTTTTTTCTTGCTGTAAAGACATTTACTTTCAAATGAATCCTTGGACCTACTTTCTATTTTCCCTTTGATTGATTCTCCTTTGACAGCATGTTATAAGGAAAGGAGAATGGTCAACCTGAAGAGTTTCTTTCTACCACCTTTTCTAGAGTTCAACCAGGTGTCCACCAGAGTAACAAACCATTCTTTGTGATCTAGGCATGTTGTCAGTTTCTACTACTTGAAAGATGCCACATGGTGTCTCTAGCATATTCGCATATTCTAAAGATAGATGTTAGTTTGGTAAACAATTCCTAGAAGAGCAAGTGGGTCCATAATGAAATAATTGCCCTGAAGGGTCAAAAAAAAAAGAGAGAGAAAAGCTTAATTTTACTTTTTTTTTTTTTTTTTTAAATCATTTAAGATAAAGGAATATACCTGATTTGGAGACCCAGATTATCTAAAATGACTGTCTAGCTTTCCTGAACTCACCAGCTTATTGACTGTCCCCTTCCCCTCTGTGGTAGTGGTCTAGTCTTAAATAATTAAGTAATGAGGACTCTCACATTACCATTCATGAGTCCTTCCTGGTATTCATTTAATGACATATGTGATAACATATGTGATAACATCTTTGGCTTTAGGCTTATTCCTTTATTCTTTTTTTAAACTTCATTTACCATTCCAGCTCCACAGTATCATTTCTGGTTCATTTCAAACTGTCTGTCCTTTTATTTCTTTCTGGCATATTTGTTGCTAATGGATGGATAACCCCAAAGAGGAAATCTAAAATTTTGTTTGATCAGGAAAAATCCTTCTTAAAAAATAATTCACACCAATGAAGCTTTATGGCTCACAGATCATTCTGTATGCATTATATTTCAATCAATCCAGAATGACCCTGAGAACAAAATAGTATAACTACTATTATTATGCCCAATTTATAGATGAGGAAATTAAAGCTCAGATAAGTTACACGATTTGCTTATGATCTTGTAGTTGTTAAAGGCTAGACATAGGGTTCAAACTCATGTCCTCTGACTACAAATTCTGTACTTCCATGTATTCTGAAGTCTAAACACCACCCAATTTCTCAAGCACCAAGATGATTGATCTAGGCTTGAAGAGATCTTTGAGGTCGCCCAGTCCAGTAACTTTGCAGGTGAGGAAACTGATCCCTATAGAGGGGAAGTGATTTGTCCAAAGTCACACAGATAGGAAGTGGCAGAGCTAGGATTGGTACTCCAAATACAGCGTTCTGTTCACTGTACAATACTAACTCCAAGATGATTATTTTGAGTGTTTCCTTGAGTGCTGGTGTAGGCGACCTTTAATTTATAGCATGATATATCCTCTCTTCCTCCCTTTATTGTGCTTCTCACCCACACAATAAATTATAGCACTAGTCTAGTTTCTGACTCCATTTTGATGCTTTCCCTAGCTCTACCACTTACTACTCGTGTGGCCTTGATTAACTTCCTTAACCTTTCCGGGCCTCATTTTTATCATCTGTAAAATTAAAGAATTGAAATAAATGACCTCAGAGTCCCCTTTCTGTTCTAAATCAATGACCCAATAATCAGCAGTGTCTTAATCTTGAAACTGGTCCATCCCACAAGGTTACACTATCCTCAGTACTGTCCAATAATACATTAAAATAAACGGTGCCTGCACGGTGGATAACAGAACCAGAAAGGAAACACCAATAACTTTACATAGCAGTGCTAATGAGAATAGTGATTCAGGACACAAGCAACCCTAATTAAAACAAATGGGAGGTTTTCTGCGTCCCAATCTGGCTAAATACATCACTTCCTTTTACTGTCATTTGGGAAAACTCTGAGTTCAAAGTTACAGAATTCTGGACTTCTGCTCATTTCTATTTTAATTGAAAACATTAAGCAAAATTTCATGAAATTAAATATATATATATATACATATATGTATGTATGTATGTATGTATGTATGTATGTATATAGTGATTTAAAGGACCAAAGAGATTATAATATCTTAGGATTTTGAAATGGAAGATCCTGAGATCAAGAGAGGGAAGCTCATGCATTCATATGCCTTAATTTTCAGATGAAGAAATAGAAGGCTAAGGAATTAAATATATTTCTTCCCTTTCCTAGCCCTCTATGAGAAAGCTCCATTCCAGTAACCACAAGAACAAATGCCTTATTTCAACAAGCATTCTGGAGAGACACGTGCATAAATTTGTGCTGGGCTCACTTAAGGACTTTGTATGAGCACTCTTGACCTGTGCTTTTACTTGAAGATTATTCTTTTAAGTAAAGTTGATTAAAATTCGATCCAAAACACACTTGGATGGAATGCCTTGAGGGAATTAGGATACTATTGATAGGTGACAGATGCCCTCTTCTTCCTTTATCTGCCTTGCTCATGTGTTGATGTTTATTGCTGGAATTTTTTTTAACAGTCCATAAAATTCATAGGCAACAAGTATATACTTGTTCAAGCCAGATACTATTATCAGTCTTTATGAAGAGTAGTCTTTTTTTTTCCCAAGACTAATTTGAATATCTTTTAAATAGTTTCAAACAATCACTTTCAAAATGAGGTCCTCATGTCAATCCTCA